CGGTATCATTCTGGTTTCAGAAATACAGTTTTGCGTGCTCCCACACACTCGATTCGTATTTGTTATTGTGTCGATAACTGTGGCCAGTGGACAGAGCGAACCGGGTGTTCGTTGGACTAGGTCAAGAATTTTCCTATTTTCCGCGATTAAATGAAAATGCGGAGTAACAGATGTTCCACGAAAGGAGAGAATTGTTTACCGTAAACCCATACACTTTAATACGTATTCTAACTTTATAAATCTTTGTAAAAAAGAACTTTTTTTAATATAACACTATGTCTACGGTTTGTAGACACTACGGTGGCCTTATCTTCGTTAATAAGGATGGAGTGACGTCACCGAATGAAAATTGTATGTTTGTACATTAGTTTTTTTATCTAATATTTTATTGTTATTTGGTGATGTTTATACTTTTATTTTTGGATTTGGACTTGGATTTCCATAAAATTTCAAATGAATTATAAAGAAAAATATTATTGTGTGAATGGTTTATAGGGTACCGGCTCCGAGCCGAACTCGTACCACATTTTGTTTATGCCCTGAAATAATTTGAAATTTATGTTGCTGTTTGCAAACCGAATTTTTACAAACAAAAGTTTTCATTGTAGACAGTTAATAAAATGGGACAAAAGTGCTTTGTTTTTGGTTGTTTAAACAACGAGGATTTAGAAAACATTACATTCCATATAGATTTTTATTGACCACTCTAATTTTTTCCAAAATAATTGTCTTATGACAGTTTAGAATATAGCAATTTTGGCACATAATAGAATATAGCAATTTTGGCACATGATAAGAGAAAAAAACATATAAAACAAGTTTTTTACTCGATTTACATGATTACTGGCATCTTTATTTACTTCATATTTTGGCGACTTACATCTTGTCATCAATTTTGTAGGTCTAACACCCTTTGTCATTATTTTGACAGGAACTGTTTAATGTTTCATTTTGAAAGATACATGTTTCATCAATGCAAACGAATTCCTTCTTTTGTATTTCTATAATTTCTTAAAAATTGAACTCTCTACAGCCCACGTCTTGGTTATCTTTTTTCCTTTATTCTTTTAATACAGTTCACAATGATGCAATATAGCCATTAAACATTTGCTCTCAAAGGTTTCCAAGTTATACATTTACCAGGAAATAAGTATGTATTTATATTACTGTAGATATGTATACAAATTGAAACTTTTATAAGTAATATAAATAAATTATCTATATGTTTTTGATGTCGCCGAATTCGAACCCTATCACGTCAGTGCTTTGCTATAACCTCAAAAAACACAATAATTGAGACTTTTTAGCACTGTTTAATTCATATAAGCCTGTAACTCAAAAGCCAAGCTGTTAACTTCAAACCCATAACCCTATAACCTCATAAAGCCATAATGCAATAACCCCATAATCTTAAAAAACGCTGTAATTCACAGCCACGCAAAAAAACATTTGAGGTTATATCTGACGTGATAGGGTTAAACAGACCCCTGATTTGAATTCAGCCTTCCCAAAAACATTTCATTTAATTTCGTTTAAGATTCTTATGAATGCTTATCGCCAGGTATTTAACTTTATCCTTCCATTCAATGATTTGAGATTTATAGACCATTTAGTGGCGAAATTCGTGTAGGAGAGCTATCATTTAAAAACACTAATTATAAAGAATCTAAAGAATTTATTATATTTTTACCGTTTGAGCTATTTGAGGAGCTTCCCCAACACACATGATTACAATTTAAGTCCCCCATAATCAGAAGAGGTTTGTTAAATGTCTGAATAAAATTAGACCAATTATTTTTGGAAATAAGGTTATCTCCTAGGCAATAAATATTCACTAAGTTTAATCGGCAGTGGGGGAGATAGATGACGTTAGAAGATTTAGAGCGTAATCTAGTAGAAGAGGCTGAAAATCTAAATTGTTTTTAATTAAACAGGCTATACCTCTATAGCCATCTAATCTATCATTTCTCAATGTTTGGTAACCTCTACACCTTAACCTATAATCTTCCTTCATCCAAGTTTCATTAAGTAGGATTATGTCTGAATTGTAGTTCTTCTTTTGTATTCTTCTTTTGTTTTAGCCTCTAACTGTCAACTCAATCAGTCATTATGTAGTGAATCCTATCTTATTTAATTTATCTATGTCACAATAACGTATCGTTACGTAATAGGGTTGCAAGGTCGTTAAAAATAAGCTGAGCTTTAGTTTACTATTTCAGTGTGGAAGTGAAATTCAGTCGCCAAATCTACTACCTCTCTTTATCAATAAAAAAAAAAACAAGTAACCAATCTGGAGAGCTCTAGAGAGCCCTCTAATAAAATATATTCGGAATAATTTCCATCCATGCTACGTTTTTAATGGAAAATGGAAAGCAGGAGACATTTTTATCGTCTTCTGTACTTAATCGAATTCGCTGAGTCCATTTAGAATATTACGTTGGAATTTTAGAAAATTAAGCTTGCCACTACTTGCACGAGTGTATCTATATAGTAGCGAGAAAGGACTCTACTCTGCTACAAATTGATTGAATTGAAGAGAAAATTAAAATTCTGTATTTCTCTTTAAAGGGGTGTCTGCAGTATACAAATAGAAGTGTTATTAAAAATACAGGGATTAAATTAAACAAAAATAACGAATTTCGTTTTCTTATTTAATACCATGGTGTCAAACGTTAAAAAGGGTCAAATTGAACACGCCTCGTATAGGCCGAGGCATCCTTAGATTAGAAAAGGGAATAAAAAGGGATGACATAGCTGTTCCTTGCCCTTGGGGCTTCGGGGACCCCCCCACGCCCCCTCATCCCTGCATCGAAATTAGACGGGTATCTGTGTTTGTCGTCGCTAGTTGCTAAGCCCACATGGGCGTACGTGTAAAGGGGGTTGGGTTTCTAGGGGTGAAGTCTACTGGCTAAAACAATTGCAATCCTTCTTTAGACATAAAAATACTGAACATTTGCCACATAATATCTGGGATTTCCCCTTACAATTTGAATATTTGCACCTCTGTCGTTCTTCACTTACTCTTGGCAAATGATTCAAGTTGTCCGTTCTTATTTCCTGGGCTAGAATCTGCGAAAAAGGATATTTCTTTTTTTTTTTGAAATCCAGTTGAGGTTGTAAGCTGGTACTTGGTCTTTCCCTTTTCTTTCTGAACTATAAGCTCAGGTCAAAACTTCTGTGATACCAAATTTGAATTCTGAAAGTGGTAGGTATAAATCATTATTTTTTGGGGTTCGCCTCCACAGTATCCAGCTATTGACGCATATCATATTCAGGAAATGGAAAGATACCGTCATGTACCACTTTTTGGATCAAATTTGGATTCGATAGTATCCTAACACAGAATCGAGAAGATCTACTCCCTCTATATATGCATTATATACCGCACAACATTGAGGGCGGATGATTTCTATTTGTGTACTAGATTTCCTGCAGAATCTGTTTACCATCGATACAGGTTGACTTCCAACATATGTTGAGATGGTGTTCACAATTTTATTATCAAACCAAGAAACAACAGATATGTCCACACCATCTACATTGCCTACTGCTTCAATAACTGTACCTCTACCTTTTTTTTCATAGCTGCTTCCTTAGGAAATTCGAAATTATGCACACGATTTCCTCTTACTGTCCCCAAAGGTAACATACCATTTTGGTGAGATATATTTGTAGAGGAATGTTCCTAAATCAGTTATCAAAAAATAATTTGTAGTTTAGATTTCTTGGAATTGATTCTGAAAGTTTTACAACAACATTGCTGCTTGCTCCTAGATCTAGTTGATCATTTTCAAGAGTAGTAGCTCCACAACAAAAGTCGAAATCGTAATAAAATCCAGACACCCAACTAAGATCAAAAACCTTGTATCCCCATTTATGAGGTTTCTTGGGATTACATAGTTTAAGACTTGATCGAGCTTTTGTAGGAATAATTTGTTCATCCACGACCATATGCTCCTCTTTAGGAACAAGTAAGAAACGTTCACGAATTTTGTTTAGCAGTGGACGTATCTTGAAAAGCTTAACATAACCTGGCTGCTCTTGAGGAACTTGGCGTGTGTTGTCACTGAAGTGAAGAAATCGTTTGATTTCTTCAAATCTATTGCAGGTCATAGAATGTGAGATGCAAGGAATATCTAACGATTGGTTCCCCTAGGACCTAGTTGAAGGGAGTTGAATAATTGACATGTATATGGAAGTACCGCAAAAAGTTCTTTGGATATATTGGGCGGTTTGTTAGGCCTACTGTGTACACCAAAAAAGTTTGAGTGTTCAGCTATATAAGTAAAAATTTCTTCGGTGAAAAAAAAATTGAAAAACTGAATAGGATCTTCGAGTTCTTGTATGAAAATTGAAAGTGTTTATCTCTTTTGAATCTCACAAATTCTTATGTTACAGCAAGGAACATATTCTACCAGACAACTTCTTTTTTTCCCATTTTTTTTGTGTTGTGATTTTTTACATATTTCGATGGTAAATTTGTATCACTATGAGATTTAGTTGTCCAGGGAACATTATATCATTATGCTTATCATCACAGTAAACACTTGCCCTTATAAAAATAATTTTTTCCACACAAATTAGGCCAAAAGAACAAAAATATTCTATTTTGAATTTGCCCAAACAAGCTAGCGCCTATCATCAGCCAGATATTCACTAAATGATTCATCATCAAATTTGCGCGTACGATAGTGGAGGGGATTTAGCGGCTGCCTGTAAACAAGCGACTGTGCCAGATATGGGACAACTTGAGTTGATAGCACAAACTCTTCGGAAACTTAGAAAAAAATAATTTTGAACGTGTACAAAATATGGCACAGTATGCGGTAAGGGGTTAATCTCTTCCTATTTCACTTCTTTATAATTAACAGGCTTTGGTTGAACAAATGAGGAAAGTGGGAGCATGTCGTCATCAGAGTCATCGTTTGTCAAATAAATTAAGCTGGCAACACTATCTGATGAAACAGTCTTTGGTTTGTGCTTCTTTGTTTTTGATATCTTCATCTGCTTAAAATTATCGTCTTTTGTTTTCTTGGAATAGCTACTCGTTTTCCTTTGGTCTGCTTAACTTTCTTTTTGTCTTCGTCTTCTTTGAGCTTGTTCAATACTTCTTTCGTCGTTAAAACTTCTTCATAACTGGATTGTTTTAATCGTGGAATAACTTTTTTATTCTCAGTACCACCCGATATTTTTGGAGAATTTTCAACACATTCATTCAATTTCTTGGAGAATAGATTAATGATACTATTGGGAGAAAGATCTTTGCAGTCTCAACTCTTATAGTAGCATCCTGGTGTTCTGATTCAGGTAAATTAGAGTCACTTGTCAATATGGGTTTATCTGATTTTATCTGGTCATTTGGGCTCGTCGAGGGTCTAGATAATGCCTCAGAAATGTGCCCCAGTTGATCATGTTTGCTTGACGAAGCTCCAGGTAATTCATCAGAAATGCTTCCTAGTTCTTGGTTACTGGAAGTGCTTTGGTGTTCTCTATACTTTCGCAATCAATTTGGATCAAAATACTTTTCGGAAAATTTCAAAGAATCATCTAGAAAAACTCCAGTCGTTTCGAAGCCTGAAATTATGTTTTCGGGGGTCATGCCTGTTCTCAAACTTTTTTTAACAATTCTGAGAACTTACGTCTAGTCAAACATCCACAAGACTTTTCCATTTTAGATTTTCCATGATCAACCAAGACTCTGTCCCATTTAATTTTGATAGGTCTCAATACGCATTTATCTAGTGGTTGTATCCTATCTATTAGATGACTTGGAAACCTAAGTAATGAAATGTTGTGTTCAAGTGCAGCATTCACTATCCGAACGCTGATATGGCTACTGTGGCCGTCGAATAATAAAAGAGCAGTCTGGTCAGGCACATCCCGTTCTTTTCGCACTCTGTTAACATTTGGTATGAATAAGGTTATGACCCATTGATAAAAGTGGGGCTCTTCCATCCACCCATTTTAAGATGCTTCATATATTGTACCAGGATACACATTTTCAGAAGTCCAACGGGCTTGGACAGCAGCTCCTTTAAACACAATAAATGTAGGTAAAAATGATCCATCTGCAGCAAAGCATGCTAAGACAGTAGTAGATTCTTTCCCTGGTCCTCCTGATACCCTAAACAATGGTACCCCCTTTTCACCTATAGCACGAACTCTAGAAGGATCATCGTTGAAGCCTTTTTCATCAGCATTAAATATAAAACATCCCTTATCGTCGCCAATAAGCCCACACATTTGAACCAACTCACTTTGTTTTTCGTAAAAGTCATATACAACGAATGGATCTCTAGCATCTTTTCTTATTTTCTGAAGATGTTCTGGTTTCTTTAAAGCTGAAGTTGGATGTCGTTTCATAAAATTTGCATACCAATCATACCCAGGTACGTTATTTTTGAAGGGAGTTTTTAAGCCCTTAGATGTGACATACTCTCCAACTAAAGAGCATTATTCTTTGCGATCACAAGGCCAACCCATTCGCGAACGCGCTTTTAGGCAATTCTCAATCGCCATCTCAACATTTTCAGGCAGTACAGAATGACGATCACCAGTTGTCACCTTCAATGGATTTTTCCTCCCCTTGATACGATGATAAATTACCGCAATGGGTACATTATAGGTAGCCTGGGTTTCTCTGCTTTAGTGTACCTCTGAGCAATAGGCTTTTTTCTTATATAATTTCGTATCATTTGTACCTGAAAATATATAAAAGTACATATTTATACATATTCACATTTACCCCAATAGTTTGTTTACCTTTGCCCCTTCCTCAGAAAATTCTGGGTCAAATGTAAACACCTCATTAAAATAGAGTGCATTATAACCTAAGATTTGTGTATGCATTAAAACGTTGGATATGCCCTTAACAATAACTATATGACATGAAAATCAACTTACAAGTTGAAAAACGGTTATCACACTTAATTTTCATTTATAATTCACAATCAAAATAATGAACTATTTCGTTTCTGTATCATAAATGAACGAAAAAAAAAACGATGCAACATGCTACATGGTTGACATGGGACTGAATAGAAGATGCGTGGTGGCATCTTGCACTGTGTGGAAGGAAACTATAACCCGCCAAATTCAAAATTATTGGCATGTTTACAATAACCCCTTGTTTACTATTACCCCAGTTGACCCTACCACTTTCTACATTAAAATGATTGTCAAACGTAAAGAAAAATAAAAATAATAACTTGTGTGTTTCTGTGTCATTTAAATAGTAAAATTTCATCAGTATTTCTATAAAGAATGTTATAATCCTTTTTACAAGAACTTCTAGATATTCAAATCATCATAAAAGGCGTGGTAATTGAAGAAGGGGTAGCCAAAACACAACCAGCAGACCAAATCCTTCTTCTTCTTCTTTAACTTTATTTGGGCTCAATTCTTCCGAATTATTTACCCAGCACTTTTTGTTTTCAAAGTGGAAAAGCTGCACCCTCGTGCGTCGGACTTCTGTCCTCATTCTTTCACTGCACTCGATAATTGGTTTAAATATTCTTCGAAATATTCTTCTGTATTCTTGGTAGAGAATATTTTATTTAATTTAGTCTTATATTTAAAGTCGGATGGTCACTTTTACACTAGATATTTAGTGGTTATTATTGGACTTCAGGGCTCCCGATTCGGAGACCGCCATTTCAATGTTGCCACGACGATGTCCGAATCGAAAGTCCAAATCCATCACCTCATTTCAAAAACACTGTCAGTAGTAGCAACAAAGTTCTAGAAGGAAATCGCCGTACGCCACTGCTAGTGGTGCTAAAGGCACTATCGGTTGCTAATTTTTTATGACTCGCAAGTGACGTGTGGCTTCTGGAACACACCAAAGACCGAAGATTTAATCAACTGATAAGAACGCCATTGCGACAAAGGAAAAAAGGGGGAGTGGAGTTGCTTGCTCGTCCATGGGGGTTGGTCCTGGAGGTTTATTTGGTATATATATGAACTTTGGGATTTATTGTGTGTTAAGTGAGGCGAGTAAGAAAAGAATGACAGTGGGGAAAAGGAAATGTGAGAGTAAGAACTGCAAACACGCTTGAAAGTAAATTACTTTGAAGTTATAATTACTGATGAATTTGGAATGGGAAAATTCATTGATGAAAAAAGTTTTCGTCTATCTTATATACCTTGTGGGATTTACTGAGGTGTTAATGGGAAGCTAAACTCATAATAATACACTTTTGACTCACAATATAATATAATGAGAATATATTATAATGATAATATGATAATGTGTACACTATAGATCCATCGAAGATTACACAAAGTATAACATAGCTTTTATCAGCATTTTGAATTCTACTTCAAAAATTATCAATAAAAATAAAACTATTTTGTTAGGATGTAAACAATGAACTTTTCAAATTAAAGTAAATAAATTATATTTAAATCCAAAGAATTCTTAGTAACATTTACTTTCTGAAAGAAAAAATTTCACCCAATTCGTTTTTGATTCCATAAACTCGAAGTTTTTGAACACAATCGAACGCCCTAATCAAATCACAAAATATCACCGCTACAACTTCATATAATAATTAACAAAAATCATCGGTGGGCTTACCGACTATAACATTAATTTTTTAACAGCACCATCAAATGTACCTGATAAGATTTTTTTTTTGTTTTTTCTTAACAGTAACATAAATTTCCAGCTAAAAATCCTTCGCCGAGGTGTCGCGTTGTTTAACTGTTGTCGCTAAAAGACCTTCAAACTATCGACATCTATCTCGAACTTTAATTAAACGGATTGGATCGGTTACATCAATTTTTATTGTGTAGTTAAGTACGGCAATCCTTTTTTATTAACCTTCTTCTGTCCCGGTATCGTTGGTGTTTTACTCGAGACTGGGTAGAGTCATTCGTTACATTTCGGAAAAGTTGATTCTATAGAATATCTGAAAATTACTTTTTGTGATAATTCTGGTACTACGGAATTATAGATGCAGTATTTCGAATACTCGTGGTTTTTGAGTCATATTAATGAATCACTCTGTATGTTCAATAAACGAATACATTAGTTACAATACCACATACTTCGATTTTCTCTTACTACAATACAGTAGATAAAATGATTCTAAAGTAGACGTATGTCTAATTTCAGACCAAGTTGTCTTCTGTTTATAATCTGTTTCCATTTGGGCTTTACAAACGAGAATATTTAGTCACTACTAACTTATCCTTTAATAATTGCGTCGTAATTGTATTATCTTAAAATGAAAACAAAATCAGAAAATACTTCAACTATAATAAGAAAGGCGTTAGATCCACAGTCAGATCTCTTAACATACAGTGGTTTTATCTAAACAGGACACTGACGACTGGCGACACAAACCGAAACATCCCTGTATATATATTACAAGCTAATGGATTCGACGATGTTGTTAAGATAAAACAATAATTAAAAATGTTATTTATTTGAATCCAATTTTTTATTAAATATTGAGGAAACATGATATGTAGTTTTGCTCTAGAACATAACTATGAAAGTTTGTATTGAGTAATCTGGAACTAGGATATATACTAGAATCATGGAGAAGGCCCAGAGTCACCTTTATTCTAAAAGTAAGGAAAAAGGATACTACACATCCTAAATCCTTCCGACCAATTAGCCTCACATCCTTTATATAAAAAAAGAACGGTTAAGGCTGATCATAATTATATCAGAACAGAAGTCCTGGAGAGGGTGCCACTCCACTACAGCCGCCAGTACGCGAGTTATGATCGATGACCCCATATACCTTTTCCAGGAAAACGGTATCTGGTTGCCGGCAGTGTAAATAAACCTCTGTGAACTGTGTGTGAATTGCTGACTCTATTCATTTCCCTATCAACATTTTAATAAAATAAAGGCAGTCTAATTTCATAGCTTGTAACGATAACATTAATATTAAACCCTGAATATAATTTTTTTGTGGTTTTTATTTAAGAAAAAGTAATAAAAATTCTTTTTAAAAACATTTCTCTCAACGAGAGCAGGAAGATCTACAAAAACTACCCTGGTACCGCTGACTGACTAAATCCAGGATAAAAAACGGTGGTGTAAGACATAGAAGGAGCGTTTTACAACATGCTATACGAATTGCATACAGAAGAGTAGATAGCACCACATTCACATGAATGGCTCAGCAGCTGTCTACGAGAACTGCAGTGACATAGATAGGACGTGACACCATCTACATCTGCACAACCAGAGATTCTCCACAACTAGGAACGAGTTATATCCCTACTAATGTGGAGCCTAAGTATAGACGAACTTCTATGCAGATTGACTGACGTTGGCATACCCATAAAAGACTAGAACACACCAAAAGGTGGTGCCGAGAGGTGGGACTTAGTATAAACCACACGAAAACTACACAAGTGGCCTTTCTAAGAAAAAAAAAACTCAAAACCGTAAAATTAGATGGTGTAGATATAGAATAGAAAAATCTATTCCCCACCAATTCTTCTACCATTTCGAAAATATATATCTATCAGATATTATTTTCGCCACACTTGTCTTCAAGCTGCCTTTAACTGTTTACGATTTAGGATCACCCTTATAGAGGTATACATATCGGATCGTTTTAAAGAGTGACATGAAATGAGCCAAGGTCTTAGTAGGATCTTAATTTCTGGTTCTTCAGTAATGTCATTTACTGCCAATTTTGATCCACCCATCAACAAGTCATCAGAGTTTTGAAGGTTATTCATAATAGCTACTGATTTAGCTTCCAATATGGCAACATTAACTTGTTTTGTAATAATAGGATGTTTTAACTGTTTATCACTGCCTTGAACATCATCAATTTAAGTGTACTTGTCGTTAAATTGGAAATCTGTGATATTTGACACACCTTTGATATAGATAATCAGATAAAAGTTAAAATTATTGATATTATATTTGTCAAAAGGTATAATACATTTGACAATAATGCAAATAACATTTCTAATGCATCATTGAATTAAAAATCTGATTTAATAATATGTAATTATGACCAACATACCTTGTATCTCTATCCTTTTCGGTCATGGCCTACTTTAGAGACATTTTTTTAGGATGGCTTTTTATTATGCGCCTTAAGAACCAGAAAATAACGATTTCGAAAAGCAGAAAGCCACAAATGAAATAAGTACAACATTTGAAAAGGAAAGGCTGGAAAATAAATTTTGAACACGGCAGGGACATCTCCCGACACAGATAGTTTACATTAGAGGAGGCCATGAAATTTTAATAATGGCGCACGGTGGCCATATATACACGAAAATTCCCAGGAGGCCACGTATAAAATACTTTCGTTCCTTTTCGCCTTCGTACGTAACGTGTCAGGACCGGCTTCAAATAAGATTTTTTTAATAAAATTGTTTCTGGTGACAACTCCTGTAGGTACAGGATAACAAAAAGGAGGGCGACTCTAAAAATTATAAATAAATTTGCAATAACTAATTAATCATATTTTTCATCCTTTGTTAGAAACACATGCGTAAAGAGTAAATATTTTTACATAAACTGTTTAAAAAATTTCCAAAAAAAAAATCAAAAGACGATATAATGGTTCTTAAAAATCAAGACTAGCAATATGAAGATCTTCAACATGTCTTAATCTAACAATGCTTTACAAACCTGAAAATTATACTGCTCATCAGATTTCGGTCTTATAGATGTAAAAACGATATGTTTAAAAACGATGGATTTAAAAACGATAGATTTAAAAACGATGGATTTAAAAACGATAGATTTAGAAACGATAGATTTAAAAATAATAGATTTAAAATGGAAAAACGATTAATTTAAAAAAAATTGACTTCAAAATTAATTTTTGTTTAAAAATATTTTTTTGCTTTAATAAATAGTCAAATGTAACTGAACAACAAACTTTTCCAAAAACAATAGATTTTATAAACGATAGACTTTATAAATGATAGATTTTATAGATGATAGATTTTATAGGCGACAGTTTTTATAGTTTATAGTTTTTATAAACGATAGTTTCTATAAAATATAGTTTTTATAAACGATAGTTTCTATAAACAATATTTTTATGATCGATAGGGTTTATAATTGATAGGTTTTATGAACAATAGTTTTTATAATCGATAGTTTTTATAAACAATAGTTTTGGTAAATAATATTTTTCATAAACGATAGTATGTATAAACGATAATTTATAAAAACGACAGTTTTTATAAACTGTAGTTTATAAACGATAGTTTTTATAAACTGTAGTTTATAAACTGTAGTTTTTATAAACGACAGTTTTTATAAACGACAGTTTTTAGAAAAGAACAAATTAAAACCTATTAGTTTCAAAAAGAAATATTTTGAAAGTGAAATGTTTGAAAAAAGGATAGTTTTTATAAGCGATAGTTTTCAGAAAAGAAAAATTTAAGAAAAATAGAGTGACAAACGCTAGATATAAGATTGACAAATTTAAAAACAATAGCCATAAAAAGGATAGCTTCAAAAACAAGAGAGCCCCAAACGAAATATTTTAAAAAGAAACAATGGAAAACGATAGTTTTTATAGAAAAGAACGATGGATTTAAAAACAATTGTTTTAAGAAGCTTGCGAAAAATGATTTATTTTAAAACAATCGATTTTAAAAAAGACTTTTGCTATTGTAGTTTAAAAACGACAGATTAAAAAACCATAAAATTAGAAACGATAGATTTTAAAACCATAGCTTTAATAATGATAGATTTAAAAACGATATATTTGAAAACCATATATTTAAAAACGATAGATTTAAAAATGATAGATTTGAAAACGAAAAATGATTAATTTAAAAAAATTTACTTTAAAATTAATTTATATTTCTTCAAAAATATTTTTTTGCTTTAATAAGTAGTCAAATGTAACTGAACAACAAACTATTCCAAAAACAATAGATTTTATAAATGATAGTTTTTATAAACGATACATATTATGGACGATAGTTTTTATAGACAGTAGTTTTTATAATTGATAGCTTTTATATACGATAGTTTCTATAAATTATAGTTTTTATAAACGATAATTTCTATAAATAATATTTTTTATAAACGATAGGGTTTATAAATGATAGGTTTTATAAACAATAGTTTTTATAAACGATATTTTTCATGAACGATAGTTATAAACGATAATTTATATAAACCATAGTTTTTATAAACGACAGTTTTTATATACGATAGTTTTTATAAACGATAGTATATAAACGATATTTTATAAACGACAGTTTTCAGAAAAGAACGAATTAAAACCTATTAAATTTTAAAAAGAAATATTTTGAAAGCGAAATGTTTGAAAAAAGGATAGTTTTTGTAAGCCATAGTTTCCAGAAAAGAAAGATTTAAAAACAATAGATTTAAAAACGCTAGATATAAAATTGACAAATTTAAAAACTATAGATAGCCTTAAAAACAATTGCTTTAAAAACAAGAGAGCTAAAAACAAAATATTTTATAAACGAAAGTTTTAACAAAAGAACGATAGATTAAAAACGATGGATTTAAAAACAATTGTTTGCGAAAAGTGATTTATTAAAAAAAATAGATTTAAACGATAGATATAAAAACTATAAATTTAATAATGATAGATTTAAAAACGATAGATTTATAAACAATATATTCTTAAAACAATAGCTTTAAAAACTAAAAAATCTAAAAACGTTAAATTAGAAAATCTTAAATTTAAAAACATTACTTAAACTATCGCATTGTTATTTTTACTAGTAATTTTAAATCTATTATTTTTAAATCTTTCTTTTCTGAAAACAGTCGTTTATAAGAAGTATCGTTTTTTCAATCTTTCTTTTTTTTAAATATTTCGTTTTTAGCTCTCTTGTTTTTAAAGCTATCGTTTTTAAATTTGTCAATTTTATATCTAACGTTTTTAAATCTATTGGTTTCAATACTTTCGTTTCTGAAAACTATCGTTTATAAGAACAATCGTTTTTGAAATTTTTCGTTGTTCAGATACATTTAACTGGCTATAAAGCAAATATCTATCGTTTTTAATATTGATTGTTTTTTAAATGAAATATTATTCAAAAACAATGGTTTTTAAAACTATTGTTCTTAAATCCATCGTTTTTATATCGTTCATATCGTTCTCGGTTCTTTCTTTTTTAAAAACTTTCGTTTATAAAAACTATAATTTTTTTCAAATTTTCGTTTTTGAAATATTTTGTTTTTAAATATATCGTCTTTAAATCTTTTTTTGTGAAAACCCGTTTATAAAATCTATCGTTTTTTCAACCGTTCGTTTCTGAGATATTTCGTTTTTAATTCTCTTATTTTTAAAGCTATCGTTTTTAAATTTATCGATTATATGTCTATCGTTTTTAAATCTTTCGTTTCTGAAAATTATCGTTTATAAAAACAATCGTTTTCTCAACTTTTTGTTTTTGGCATATTTTGTTCTTCAGTTACATTTAACTGTCTATTAAAGCAAATTTATTGTTTTTAAAATTGATTGTTTTTAAAATGAATCATTTTTCAAAAACAATCGTTTTAAAAACTATTGTTCTTAAATCCATCGTTTTTAGATCTTTCTTTTCTGAAAACTTTCGTTTATAGAAACTCTTTTTTTAAACTTTTGTTTGTGAAATATTTTATTTTTAAATATATCATTTTTATTTTTTTTTTTTTTTTTGAAAACCATCGTTTATTAAAACTATCTTTTATAAAAATTATTGTTTATAAAAATTATCGGTTATAAACTAACGTTTATAAAAACTATCGGTTATAAAAATTATCGTTTATGTTTATAAAAACTATCGTTTACAAAAACTCTTGTTTATCGTTTTTCAACCTTTTGTTTTTGAAAAACTATTTTTAAGCAAACATTTTTTATTTTTGAATTCTGCTATTTTTTAAATGAATCGTATTTCGAAAATAAACTTTAATAACTATCGTTTTTAAATCTAACCTTTTAAAACTACCATTATTTGATCTATCTGGTTTAAATCTAAGGTTTTTAAATTTATCGTTTTTAAAGCTGTTGTTTTTAAACGTATCTTTTTTAAATCTATCATTTTTAAATCTATCTATTATCATATAGGGAAATAGTTTGACTTTAAAACTATTATTATAATCATCTCATAAAAATAAAAAATTCCTGAGTACGTTCCTGAGTGTCTCCCCGAAAACTGCATATTATAAGAAAGTGTACGAACGGAAAATATGACGGTATCGGTGATGCGATATCAAAGTTATTGCGTCTGATAGACCGTATTTTCACGTCTACCATTTTTGGTCGTCAACCCAACACACATTGCTTCTCTCATAATTCAATATTTTATGTACATATTTTAGTTAGAGATGTCACATCGAAACGCTTCCAGACAGGTAAATGTCAACTTAAATACTAGTGCTTGCATTCACATCTACGTACGGAGGAAAATTATTTGCTACTCTAGAGCGATATATATCGCTTTGCTCTCATGTCATCAATATTAATAATAACATTTGGCTCGTTTTAGTCATCGGGGTGTAGTTCATAATATATCCTTATTTTAATAACTTTAATAACTTCTGCTCTTCCGAATGTTCCTCTATTTTACTACCAATGTGCTTTTTTCTAACTCGCAATTATTAATATTTTTTTTTTTATTTTCTAGGTAAGAAAAAAATTATAATAAATGACTGTAGGTAAGTGATTAACTAATTTTTATTTAAATCAAGAATATAGCATTTTTTGCAAATTTCCAGCCTCTATATTGGATGCAATTCCTATTTTTTCATTTATCTGAAAGCTTTTAATAAATTGAGTGCATTATATACGAACAATCAATCTCACTTAGTATCGAATAGTTTTTATAAACGATTAAAATTCATATCCCTTAAAATATTACTCTCCCGAAACTTTTTAAATAATATCGGATTCGAATTCATCATATATGCATAATAAAATGTTCGTCTGACAGCCATATCTACAGGCGATCGGTCACTGACAGTCTATATGTGGTATCGTGGTAATGGGCACGTGAATTATATCTGGATATGGAGTGTGTCATGGTTATAATTGACAGGCAAATAGCCAGGTGCTAGTGGCGTTTTAATTCCCCTATTCGGGACATCGTTAGAGCCTCACTCTGATCAGGTGGGTCCGACAGTTTACACCTGTACCCAGATATACAGGAAGTCTTCTCTGTGTACATGATAAATAACTATTTTTAGGTAAAAAATCTATCATTTTTATAACCGATTATTTTTAAATGAATAGTCTTTCAAAACCAATCGTTTTTAAATCTATCATCTTTAAAATATTTCGTTGTTCAGTTACATTTGACTGCTTATCTATCTTTAATAACATCTAATGTTTTTAAATGAATCGTTTTTCGAAACTAATCGTTTCTAAATCTATTGCTTTTACGTTGATCGTTTTTAAATATATCTTTTTTAAATCTATGATTTTTAAAACTATCGATTTTAAAACTATCGTTTTTAAATCTATCGTTTTTAAATCTATCGTTTTTAAATCTATCGTTTTTAATCTATCGTTTTTAAATCTATCGTTTTTAAATCTATCGTTTTTAAATCTATCGTTTTTAAATCCATCGTTTTTAAACCTATCATTTTTAAATCTATCGTTTCTCAAATTTACCTATTTTACATCCATCGTTCTTAAATATATAATTTTTAAATTTATCGTTCATAAATCTTTCTCTTTTAAATCTTTTATTTTTAAATTTTCTTCTCTGAAAACTATCCTTTATTAAACAATTGTTTTTCAACCAATTGTTTTGGAAATATTTCATAGTTTAGTTACATTTGAAGGCCTATAAAATCAATTATTTTTTAAATTAATCATTTTTCCAGATGAATCGTTTTTAAATTCTACCATTTTTACATCCAACAGTTTTAAATCTATCATTTTTAATTTTATAATTTCTATATCTAATAGTTTTTAATTCTATTATTTTTAAATTCAAGTTTTTAAATATGTCATTTTCACATCCATCGTTTTAAAATCTATCGTTTTTAATATTTCTTTGTAAATCTATTATTTTTAAATCTTTCTTTTCTGAAAACTTTCGTTTTTCAATCTTTTACTTTTTTAAAAATTTCGTTGTTCTCTTACATTTAATTGAATATAAAAGCAAAAATATCTTTTTAAAATCTATTGTTTTAAAATGAATGGTTTTTCGAAAATAATCGTTTTTATACTAATTATTTTTAAATCTATCGTTTTAAAATTTACCGTTTATTAAAATCGTTTTTAACCTTTCGTTTTTAAAATATTACTTTTGTAAATCTATCGTTTTTAAATATTTCTTTTCTGAAAACTGGCGTTTATAAAAACTATCATTTTTTCAATATTTTGTTTTAAGATATTTCGTTTTTAATTGTAATCGTTTTTAAATTTCTCATTTCTGAATACTGTCGGTTATAAAAACTATTGGTTATAAGAACTATCATTTATAAAATCTATTGTTTATAAGAACTATCGTTTATATAAAACTACCATATGAAATATTTGAAATATTTCGTTGTTCAGTTACATTTGATTGTTTATTAAACCAAAACACAATTTTTAAGCAAAATTGTATTATTTTTAAAGTTGATTATTTATAAAATGAATTGTTTTTTGAAAACATTTGACATTTGACTTCTTATCAAAGCAACAAACTATTCTTTTTGACATCTATTGTTTTTTAAATAAATCGTTTTTTAAAAACAATCGTTTATAAATCTATCGTTGTCAAATCTATAGTTTCTAAATCTATCGTTTTTACATCCATTGTTTTTAAATCTATAATTTTTAATTATTTAAATTTTTTTGATTTAAAATTTATCGTTTTTAAATTTTTCATTTTTAAATCTATTGGTTTTAAATAATCCTATATGAAAACTATCGTTTTTTTAACCTCTCTTTTTCAAATCTCCCATTTTTAAAGCTATCGTTTTCTATATTTATCCCTTTTAAATTTATTGTTTTTAAACTTATGTTTTTTAAATATATTGTTTTAAAATTGATTATTTTTAATTTTATCGTTAAGACTTTTGTTTTTAAATCTTTCTTCTCTAAAAATTATCGTTTATAAAAACTATTGTTTTTCAACCTTTAGTTTTTGAAATATTTCGTTGTTCATTTAGATTTGACGGCTTATAAAAGCAAAAATCTATCGTTTTTTAAATTAATCGTTTTCCGAGAAGAATCTTTTTTTGCTTCATTTTGACATCTATTGTTTTTTAAATCATTTTTCAAAAAAAAAACAATCGTTTTTAAATATATCGTTGTCAAATCTATAATTTTTAAATCTATCGTTTTTACATCGATCGTTTTTAAATCTATCATTTTTGATTATTTAACTTTTAAATCTATCGTTTTTAAATCTGTCGTTTTTAAATTTATCGTTCTTAAATCGTTCATTTTAAATCTATTGTTTTTAAATAATTATATCTAAAAACTATCGTTTTTCAACCTTTCATTTTTAAATCTCTTATTTTTAAAGATATCGTTTTTAACTTATCTTTTAAGTATATCGTTTTAAAATTCATCGTTTTTAAATTTATCGTTTTTAAGACTTTTGTTTTTCAATCTTTCTTTTATGAAAACTATCGTTTTTTCAACCTTTGGGTTTTGAAATATTTAATTGTTCATTTACATTTGACTGCTTATAAAAGCAAAAAAATCTATCGTTTTTTAAGTGAATCGTTTTTTGCTGCATTTTTGACATCTATTGTTTTTTAAATCGTTTTTCCAAAAAAAAAATCGTTTTTAAATCTATCATTTTTAAAAATTTAATTATTATATTTATCGTTTTTAAATCTATCGTTTATAAATTTATCCTTTAAAATTTATCGTTTTTAAATCTTTCCTTTTTAAATCTATTGTTTCCAAATAATTATATCTAAAAGTTATCGTTTTTTCAACCTTTCGTTTTTAAATATCTCATTTTTAAAGCTATCGTTTTTTATATTTATCCCTTTCAAATTTATCGTTTTTAAATATATCGTTTTAAAATTGATCGTTTTTAATTTTATCGTTTTTTAGATTTTTATTTTTAAATCTTTCTTTTAACATGTGGGTGGCTCAGTGGTAGAGTCTCTGCCTGTGGATCCAAGGGTGCCAGGTTCGAATCCCACATTTGGCCGGGATTTTTTTATTTAATTTAATTATTTAAAATTATTTCTGATGCCTTAGTAGGATTCCCTACTCGACCATTCACTGTTGGGTTCTAATTAACAATGCTGTTCCTAAAGTGGCACTGGGAAACAGTAACAAAGCCTACACAGAACACGAAGCTAATGGCCTTGGTAGTCGATGCCGATGACACCAAATTAAAATAAAATTTTTCTTTTCTAAAAATTGTTGTTTATAAAAACTATCGTTTGAGTTTTAAAATATTTCATTGTTCATTTACATTTGAGTGCTTATAAAATCAAAAATCTATCGTTTTTTAAATTTGTAGTTTTCCGAAAAGAATCGTTTTTAAAACTATTGTATTTAAATATATCGTTTCTTAAACTATAGTTTTTAAACCATCGTTTTTTTTTTCTAAATATTTCTCTTCTAGAAATTTTCGTGCTTTCGTGTATAGAAACTCGTTTTTTAACCTTTCTTTTTTGAAATATTTAATTTTTAAATCTATAGTTATTAAATCTTTCTTTTCTGTAATCTATCGTTTATGAAAACAATCTTTTTTTAACCTTTAGTTTTTAAATTTATCATTATTAAATTTTTTCTAATAAAAACAATTGTTTTCAACCTTCCTTTTTTTTGAAATATTAATAAATCAAAAAACTATTTTTAAGCAAAAATTTATCGTTTTTTATATCGATTATCTTTTAAATGAATCGTTTTTGAAAAGAAACGTATTTAAATCTTACCTTCTTTTACCATTTTAAATATATCGTTTTTAAATCTATCGTTTTTAAATCTACTGTTTTTAAATATATCGTTTTTAAATCTATCGTTTTTAAATCTACTGTTTTTAAATATATCGTTTTTAAATCTATCGGTTTTAAATTTATCGTTTTTAAATCTATCGTTTTTAAATCTGCCGTTTTTAAATATATCGTTTTTAAATCTATCGTTATTTAATCTATCTTTTTTAAATCTCTCTTTTCTGAAAACCATCGTTTTTTCTACCTTCTGTTTTTGAAATATTTCTTTGTTCAGTTCCATTTGACTGCAAACATTATTATCAAGCAAAAATCCATCTCTTTATAATCGATTGTTTTTTAAACTATCATTTTTAGTTCTAGCCTTTTAAAATTTATCGGTTAAATCTATCGTTTTTAAATTTTTCTTTTTCAAAAAATTATCGTTGTTACTTAGGTAAAAACACGTGTAGATCCACATTTATATCAATTTAAAACAATTGTTTTCACTATCACTTGTGTTCTGTTTTCAAATGAAACCGTGCCCAGTACTTACATTATAATAAATCAATCAAAACATACTAACACCCTGTATACTAACTATACTGCACCACAATACAATACAATACAACACAAAACAAGCACATCTATTATCAATACGAGCAAAACAAATAATCAAATCCATCAATCGTCGACGTTGAAGAGGAAGAAACGAAACAAACGGCCCGAATGACGAAAAGACAATAAATCAGCGGCAACGTCGCATCTCTGGCGGCGTTGTCGAACTATCAAAGCGACTCATGGCCCGCTAATAATGAGCATTGACGGAACAAGTGAACGAATTTATATTGGCGAAGTTATTGCCAGGAAATTTATTGTTAAATCCAACGACAATACCGTTCCCATTTGGGCTTTATATTTCGACAGGGGCGTACTAAGGAAAAACAATTAAGGGATTTAATAAGTTCAATGAGTATTAAGAATTTGTAATGTTACGTTTATACAAGGTGTGTCATTGGAAGAAGTTAATCTTATCGAATTAACTTGTGATAACACTAAAAGCAACATTTGGAATTGACAGAATTCTGGATTTCAATAAAATATGAATATCCATTTCTAAGTTATAAGGCTTAGCGGATTTTAATTCTAATTTTTACTAACAGTAGGGTGCGATGGAAAAATTTTAATTGAAAAAAGTTTGGAAACCACTGCTTTAATGAAATAGACTATTAACATATCCCTATAAACCAACGACGAGCCGTCAATGCCTCAAAATTTATGGTATTTTAAATGTATTGTTTTAATTTCTAGCGTTTTTAAAACTTATCGTTTTTAAAGTCGAACGTTTTAAAATGTATCGTTTTTAATCTATTGTTTTTAATTTATTGTTTTTAAAACTTATCGTATTTATCATCTATCATATTTCAAATTTAACGTATTTTAAACATCTTTTTTAAGCTTATTATTTTTAATTTCTATCGTTTTGAAAACCTATTAGTTTTAAATCTATCGTTATTAAATCTATTGTTTATAAATCTATTGTTTTTGAGTCTATCGTTTTAAAAATATATCGTTTTTAAAATGTATTCTTTAAATCTAACGTTTTTTAAACCACGGTTTTTAAAATAAAACGTTTTTCAAACCATGGTTTTTAAAATCTGTCGTTTTTTATGAAATATATCGTTTTTTAAGCTATGATTTTTAATAAATATTGTTTTTTATAATTTTTTAAATCTATCGTTATATAGTCATATCGTTTTCTAGTCTATCGTTTTTGAAATCTATAGTTTTTGACAGCTTACGTTTTTTAAATATGTCGTTTTTAAATCTATCGTTTTTTATTCCAATCTTTTTTTTAAACGGATCGTTTTTTTAAATCTATCATTACAAATCTATCGTTTTTGAAACCAATCGTACTTAAAAACTATAATTTTTGAAATATATTTTTTCTATAACATGACTATATCTTTTTAAATTATATATTTTTTATAACATTTCCCTCTTTTCAGACTTTCGTTTTGGAAATCTGTTATTAACTCTATCGTTTTTAAAATATATTGTTTTTAAAATGTGTCGTTTTTAAAATGTATCGTTTTTAAAATGTATCTTAAAATGTATCGTTTTTAATATGTATCGTTTTAATTGTTTTTTAAATTTATTATTTTAATTTCCTGTTTTTAAAATCTATTTTTTTTTAATTTGGTATCATCGGCATCAACTACTATGGTTATTAGCCTCGTGTTCTGTGTAGGATTTGTTACTGTTTTCCAGTACCACTTTAGGAACAGCACTGTTAATTAGAACCCAACAGTGAATGGCCGAGTGGGGAATCCTACCAAGGCATCAGAATTAACTTTAAATTATTAAATTAATTAAAAAAATCCCGGCAAACGGTGGGATTCGAACCTGGGACCCTTCGATCCGCAGGCAGAGACTCTACCACTAAACCACCCACCCCCTTTAAAATCTACTATTTTTAAAAATCTATCGTTTTTAAATTTATTGTTATGAAATCTATTGTTTTGAAATCTATCGGGTTAAATCTATTATTTTTTTTTCTATTTTTTAAACCAATCGTTTTTATAATCTAACGTTTTAAAATATAACTTTTTAAAAATTTATAATTCTTGAAATCTTTCATTTTTAAAATCTAAAGTTTTAAAAATCTGTCGTTATAAAAGGTTATTTTACAAATTTTAAATCTAACTCATTTAAATATATCGTATATTGAACTTATCGATTTTAAATCTAATATTTTAATTTTTATCGCTTTTAAAATCTATTTTTATTAAATCTATCGTTTTTAAAATGTATCGTTTTTAAAATGTATCGTTTTTAATATGTATCATTTTTAAGTATATCGGTTTTTAAATCTATTATTTTAATTTTCTTTTTTTTTAATCTATTGTTTCTAAATCTATCGTTTTAAAATCTATCGTTTTAAAATCTATCGTTTTAAAATCTATCGTTTTAAAATCTATCGTTTTAAAATCTATCGTTTTAAAATCTATCGTTTTAAAAACTATCATTTTTAAATCTATCAATTTTAAATCTATCATTTTTAAATCTATTTTTTTTTAAATCTACTATTTTAAAATCTATTATTTTAAAATCTATGGTCTTAAAACCTATTGTTTTTATAATCTATCAGATTAAATTAATTATTTTATTTCTATTTTTTTAAATCTATCGTTTATAAAAACGGTATATTTTAAAAACTTTATGTTTTAAAACGTTAGATTTTATAATCTAACGTTTTAATCTAACCTTTTAAAATATATCGTTTTTAAATTTTATCATTAAAACATAATTTAAATTAAAGTATTTAAAAACGATAGATTTCAAAAAAGATTTTATAAAAAACAATATATTTAAAATATTATAGTCAATAAAAACGATATATTTTATATATTTTAAAAACGATAGATTTCAACAACGATAGATTTCAACAACGATACATTTCAAAAACAATAGTTTTAAAAATCGATAGATTAGAGAACTAAAAGAGAATTAAAAAAACGATACATTTAAAAACAACAGATTTAGAAAACAATAGATTTAAAAACGATACTATTTAAAAAACAATAATTTAAAAAGAGATTTATAAACGACAGATTTCAAAAATTAAAAAAAATATAATTTTGATTCTGCAATATATGCTATGTGAAAAATATTATTATGTCAATCCTGATCACACATATCAGCTATTACTGTTAATATAGCTCGAATAAAACCAAACCTAAAATTCGTCATAAAATGCACATAGTAGGTATTGCACAATCAACTACGATATTTAAAATATTATAGTCTATAAAAACGATATATTTTATAAAAACGATAGATTTCAAAAAAAGATATAGTTCAAAAACAATAGATAGATTAGAAAACTATAGAAATAAAAACGATAGAATTAGGAATAATAGATTTAAAAAAAATATATTTAAAAACGATCATTTAAAAACGTGAGATTTGAAAAATGAATGATAACAAAAATGATAGATTTAAATAACGATAAGTTTAAAAAACGATAAATTTAAAAGCGATAGATTTTAAAACGATAGATTTGACAACGTAAAAAGTGGTGCCAAGGGGGAAGAAGCATATTAATGATAATATACTTGGGTATTGTAATTAAGATGGCAAAGCGGAAATATATGAAAATCATTTATTTATATATCTGAAATTAAAGAAAAGTCAAATAACATTGGTCCAAAAAACTTATCCCGCTCCATTTTTTTTTTTTTAATTTCAACAACAAAATTGAGTGCTAATCCGGTTTTGCAGCCAATAAAAGTTGATTTAGGCAAAAGTAATTCCACAGCATAATCAATTAGAACGTTGCAGACGCGGTTTTAAGAAACCCACAACGCGTCTTATTCAGAATTTGAAATATTACCTCTCCCGCACAAAGCCATCAATCAAAATTTTTGAAAACATCGTGGACCTGACGCAAACTATTCGGGAAGTTGTAATTCTGGCAACTTTTAAGAATATAATGGACTCCTGATGGATATTAATGTTCTTTGGGAGTTTCGACTGCATTTTGTTATCTGATTTATACTTACTGGTCGTCAGTATATTTCGCTGGGAATCCGAACAAATTTAAATTGTAAAAAGTTATTTTTTGACGATGACATATTTACCATATCTATTTATACTTTGATTCTTTTAACTTGGAAAAAAATTACTTTACTGTGAGTAAACAAATAATACTTTATTTAGCATAATAGCTTTTAATATAAATAAAATTTATTCCCAATTCATCCCCGATGCGCGCCAGTGGTTCTCAGTAGTAGCAGTAAAGGAGGATGTCAATAAAAGGCTCCTCTAATCCTTTACTTTGCATTCAGATTATGAGCCCGCTCAATTTAACCAATTTGTTCGGCAAACAACTTCAAAACTCAGTCGGTATGGCAGATTTCTGCTTCTCTTCCTTCCTGCGGCGCCCGCACGTCTTCGTTGTCGTTCTTTTGACTTCAATTCGAATTTAATTTTTTTTTGTCGGGGACCTAGATAATATTTTTATTCGAAATATGAAGTTTTGTTGTTAAATGAATACGGAGGCATAGGTGGCTCGTCTTTGGTTTAATAGGGGTAGGTTAATAGAGACTGTTCGTTTTATAAACTATAAATTTAAAAAACGATAGTTTTAAACGTTTGATTTTTAAAACGATAAATTTTAAAAACGACAGATTTTAAAAGCAATAGAAATGAAAACAATAGATTTTAAACCCGATAAATTTTAATACTCTAGATTTTTAAAACAATAGATTTCAAAACAATAAATTTAAAAATTATAGATTT